GAGAGAGAGAGAGAGAGAGAGAGAGAGAGAGAGAGAGAGAGGAGTGATTTAAAGTGTTTGACAGAACAGTCGTTTTGTGAATTCATAAACGACTCATTAATGTTAAGTGAATGTAATTCCATATATCGCCTGCACTTTGAGCTCAAATGTCTGTCGAGTTGTCTTTGAGTTTAACGTAAATTAAAGCCAACACTTCTGACAATATAACAAACATTGTTTGGCTCACTATATGTCGGGTATTATTATATTGTTGTATTGCAAAAATGCACACAATTTTCCATCTTATGGTTGGAATTAATGAAAGAATTCATGAGAACATAACTCAACCAAAAATTCATTCATCGATTCCATAGCTATTCTATAGCTTCAAAAAAACTCATTAAATTCTAGATTTCTCTTTTCAATTCATCACAATTTCAGTCATTTTCGTTGCTTTCCATTCATATACTAAGAAAAGGCAAAATAATCACAAAATATTCTTAACTAATGTGCCATAAAATACAAGCAAATAAACAGACAATAAAGTCAAATCTAAAATGTTTTTATTATTAATTAAAAGTACATTTTATATCATTAAAAAATTAAAAGTATTATTAGATTTACAACAAAATATTTCAAAGAAAGTATTAGTGATTTCAAAATTTAAATACAAAAAACATTTAATGGTATGATTTATAGTGTGTTTAAAGGGGAGAGAAGTTGGCGATGGAATCCATTAATGAATTCCTGGACACGTATTTAATGCCATCGGTTTGAGTGTTGGGTAAACCAATGGCTTCCGAAACGGACAACAATTTCTTAAATCCATTCTTTCGCTTACTTTTAGCGAACTCTTCGATGGAATCGACGACAACTCCGCCACCGATGACCACGAATTGTTGCAATTCACTCAACAGATTGCCTTTAATGCCATTGAAGTGACACATTATGTTTTGAAACAACTTTTGGCCACTCGTTCGCGATCGGCGAGGAATGTGCGCTTCGGTGGCCGTCCGGTCGGCGCTTATCTCATACTTAAACTCATCGACAAATCGGTTCGAGCGATAAGAATCCATAATCCAATCAAAGCTAACAATCCATTTGTTTGCTATAAAACACAAAACAATATTAAAACATTGCATTCAAATACAAATCATTTTCATAACAAACCCAACAAAGCCTTCAGATATTTGGCATTTCGCGGACATATGAGACCCTCTTTTGTGGTGTCCTTAAAGAGTGCGATCACAAGATGTGTCACTTTATCGGACCATTCGGTCACTGCTTCTGCGTTGAGTTCGCGACAAACGCTTTGAATTTTCTTAATCTGTTTCTCCTCCAAACCCGAGTATAATATAACACACCTTTGAGTCGAGCGCTCAGACGATGACGTCCTCTGCCGTGAAGATGTCGACGAAGCCATCGACACATCCGATGGGGCCTCAGAAGGCGCCGGAGAGACAGGCCGTTTAAACACACTTTTCTCTGGCTTCGCCGCCGTAGACGCTATGGTCGGCTGTTTTGGACGCAAATTTTGTTTAAAATATTGATACAAAATAACTCTTTTAATTATAACTCACGTTAAACTTTGATTTAGTTCTCTTAGTATCCGCTTTTGGCGTCTCTTCCGATTCAGTAGAAATGATTTGACGTTTTCTGACATTCTTTGCCACCGGTTTTGGCTCTTCGTCTTCTTCTTCTTCTTCTTCTACCACTAAAGCCTTACTTTTAGCCGTCTTTTTGGTGACAACTTTTCGTTTTGGCTTTTGTTTCGGTTCCACCACTTCTGGCGGGTCTTCAAATATAAAGACGCTATCGTCTGCCACTTCTTGTACCGATTCCTCCGCAACCTTTGGCGCCATCAGTTCGGGAACCCTCTGTTCGGCCGCCTTTCGACTCCGTTTATTAGTGTTGGAACCAGTCTTTGTGGCCTTTCGTTTACTTTCAACCACTTCTTCATTATCAACAACAGCCTGTTCTTCGGCCACAACTTCCTCCACAACAGCCTTCGCTTCGCGTTTACTTCGAACTGCTTTCGGTTTCGATACAGTTTTCTTTGCTTTTCGTTCATTGGATTCGTTGACAACATTTTCATCGATAACCTCTTTGTCTGTTTCAATCAATTCGACCACTTCTTCGACATTTGAATCCGATTTAAGCTCTGTTTTTGGTTTTTTACTTCTTGTGATGGACTCGAAGGACGATCTCTTTGATGAATACGACTTCACCGCCCAATGGATGTCTTGAGTGGACAACCGGTCAATCACAGGCACTAAAACCGCTTCTTCTTCTCTATTCTCGATTTCATTGATAGGTTTAGCGCTGACTGACGGCTCACTCGTGGCCTTCACTTCATCGGCTATTCAATACATAAATTGTGATTAATATGAAAAACAATTATCATTTATATTATTAAATGTAACTTACAATTGATAGCCAATTGGTTGTCATTAGTTATGGACTGATTGGCCTTAAACTCAACCAATTGTTTGAGAAACATCTGAAGTGAATGACACGGAATATTATCAATAGACTTATGGAAACAGCAATTATTAGATTCGCAACAATTGGTGGTCTCTTTGGCCGCATTATCAGTGTTGATGTCCAACAGAGGGTCAGTCTGTATACTCTGATTGCAGAGTTTGGCCACAACTTGAATGGAAACTGATTTCAACACCTTTTTGGGTGAATTTTGAGTTTGCATTCCTGTGTCCACAATGTGTTGACTCGTTTGACACGACTTCCAATCCATCACTTTCTTGAACGCCTTCTCCTTCTCTTGTGACGAGAAACTGATTTCAACACCTTTTTGGGTGAATTTTGAGTTTGCATTCCTGTGTCCACAATGTGTTGACTCGTTTGACACGACTTCCAATCCATCACTTTCTTGAACGCCTTCTCCTTCTCTTGTGACGAGTTTCTGGCCGTTGGAAGCGATTGGTTGCCATCGGTCTGGGATCCAAATGAAGACTAAGAAAAGCAATTAAAATATTAAAATCTAAACAATCAATTCATGGCTAAAGAGTACATCGAGGAAATCGATGGACAGGCGGTCGTTGTTGGACTCGAGACCCTCAAGAACAGCGGACGCCATCTCTGTTGTCTTGTCTTCAACGGTGGTCTCGTTGTTGAGTCCAGAGATCTCTGTCGGCTCTCCATAAGAGTCTTCAATAGAGTTGGGTATTGAGTCTATTGAGTCCATTGAGTCGGTGTCCACAACGTCCACAAATTCAACCGATTTCCTGGCGTTAAGCGCAGGCTTTTCAGTCATCGGCGGTGCGCTTTTGAGCGGCGACTCTTTGATTACTGGTTTGAGCGCCTCTTTGTTGAGCGGCTTATTATTGACTGATTTTGGATCGCAAACGGAACCGCTTTTTTGCTTATTCTTCGCGCTGTCGGCGACACAAGCCTTCAAACTAATAACACAAGAGGTTATCACAAACCATACCATTGTTTATCGCAACACAAATAAGACATACCTTTGAATTATGAGATCCTTTTGATAACCACTCGCGTGTCCTTTGGATTGGTCTCCGCTTTTGGTCACCACTTGTTTGGCCGACACTTTGATCGGCGACTGTTTGGCCAATGGTTTAGATTCTCTGCAAATACAAAGACAATGAATACGAGTGNCACGGAATATTATCAATAGACTTATGGAAACAGCAATTATTAGATTCGCAACAATTGGTGGTCTCTTTGGCCGCATTATCAGTGTTGATGTCCAACAGAGGGTCAGTCTGTATACTCTGATTGCAGAGTTTGGCCACAACTTGAATGGAAACTGATTTCAACACCTTTTTGGGTGAATTTTGAGTTTGCATTCCTGTGTCCACAATGTGTTGACTCGTTTGACACGACTTCCAATCCATCACTTTCTTGAACGCCTTCTCCTTCTCTTGTGACGAGTTTCTGGCCGTTGGAAGCGATTGGTTGCCATCGGTGTGGGATCCAAATGAAGACTAAGAAAAGCAATTAAAATATTAAAATCTAAACAATCAATTCATGGCTAAAGAGTACATCGAGGAAATCGATGGACAGGCGGTCGTTGTTGGACTCGAGACCCTCGAGAACAGCGGACGCCATCTCTGTTGTCTTGTCTTCAGCGGTGGTCTCGTTGTTGAGTCCAGAGATCTCTGTTGGCTCTCCATAAGAGTCTTCAATAGAGTTGGGAATTGATTCAATTGAGTCCATAGAGTCGGTGTCCACAACGTCCACAAATTCGACCGATTTCCTGGCGTTAAGCGCAGGCTTTGCAGTCATCGGCGGTGCGCTTTTGAGCGGCGACTCTTTGATTACTGGTTTGAGCGCCTCTTTAATCACTGGTTTGAGCGCCTCTTTGTTGAGCGGCTTATTATTGACTGATTTTGGATCGCAAACGGAACCGCTTTTTTGCTTATTCTTCGCGCTGTCGGCGACACAAGCCTTCAAACTAATAACACAAGAGGTTATCACAAACCATACCATTGTTTATTGCAACACAAATAAGACATACCTTTGAATTATGAGATCCTTTTGATAACCACTCGCGTGTCCTTTGGATTGGTCTCCGCTTTTGGTCACCACTTGTTTGGCCGACACTTTGATCGGCGACTGTTTGGCCAATGGTTTAGATTCTCTGCAAATACAAAGACAATGAATACGAGTGTCGGGAAAGAGTGGTCCAAAGAGTGGCCGCAAAACCTTTGATCCAACAATTTATTAATTTTGTGCGAAATCTTAAGCAACGAATTGAAATAGAGGTCGTCTTTGCAATCGTTGGTATAATTGATGGCAAAACATTTGGGACACTTGTTGTCGCCGCTCAGGACGTGTCGGCGGACACAATGGGCGGTGTCTATCACTGGCGTTCGGCAGTTGCTGAGGTGGAAAACCAGTGAAAACGGCGTTTCGCCTGTTGTATAGTCACGGCTGTCTCTGGCGTCAAATGGGTGGCAAACCGGCGATTAGCCGTAAGAAGTGGTCAAAAGCAATTGATCCCAAGAATTGGCGACAAATGAACACCAAATGTGTGGCAAAAACAGTCAGTTTTGAGACATCAAAATAGCGCCAAAAACCTGTCTATCGTTTGCCACAGCATTGCGTGCATTGGATATATCGCTTGGCTTACAGTCAACTCTCGCTATAGCGTACGCATACACTCCCGTTGTCACCCATTCTCGCATTCATCGTGTGTTGAATGTAATTAATCAATGGTTTCTCACCTAATGTTATGTCCGACGCGTGGATCCGATGGTCGACTCAAATGCTGGGCCAATAATTTGAGTGTTAATCACATGTAGTGTTCAATGCATTGAGAGTTACGTCACAATCAAATTGAATGCGCGATACGTTTGAGGCGTTTCGAGACAGCGATCGCAACGACATCTGCGCTGAGGGTTGGCGTAAACCTCACGTTTCAACTCATGGCTAATATGACTCATAGCATAACAAATACGCGCTAATATTGACAGTCATTCTATAATTAACTGATGGACTCATTGTCGGTGTGTTTACGGCTATTACGGCACCCAATCGTAGGCCATATCTCTATTAAGCTATGGTCACATCAAATGGCTATACGTTTGCATTATGTCATCGCATAAAACAATTGACAATACATTAGTTGGTCTCAAACACACATTTTTAGGGCAACATTACTAAAGTTGAAGTTGTATTGACCCTCGCAGTGACCCCTGAGGTTAACCCCTTTTTTATACCCCATATATGAATACATGTAGTAATGCTGTGAACGGCGCGAGACGTGCGGTAATCGTAAAGTTTAGGCATAGGTTTGGCTTAATTGTGACAAACAATCGTAACGTACGATACGATAACGCAATGCAATGCAAACGCAATCCAAACGTTTCGTCAAAAGAGCATAAGTTTTAGTATTGGGTATAAAATTGAGTGCATTTTCCGCAGGCTTAATTGTGACAAACAATCGTAACGTACGATACGATAACGCAATGCAATGCAAACGCAATCCAAACGTTTCGTCAAAAGAGCATAAGTTTTAGTATTGGGTATAAAATTGAGTGCATTTTCCGCATATCTCTCGCATTTGTGGCAAACCATAGGTTCAGTGCATTGCGTGTCTGCTATACCTCTCATACCGTATATTCTCTCTTATCATTCAATTTCTCTAATCTTTTCGTAAGTTTTGAAAAGCGTTTTCAAAAAGGTATTATAAACACAGTAAATTAACAAACGGAAAATTAGTGTGCAAAGCAGTCAAAAACAAGTAATTAAGTCAATAATAACTTAAAAAATCACTTTTTCAAAAGAGAACTTTGAAGTTTTTGGTCCAAAGAATCTGTTTATAAGCTTTGAATGCTTTGAAGAGTCGTTTGATTTCTTGAAATTGTTTTAAAAGTTTGATTACATGAAAGTCATGACAACGAAGACCGCGAAGACTGACAACTCTGGACCCGTTGTGTTGGATCCGCACAAACGACTCTTAATCCGAAACCAATTGCTTCTGATTCTGCACTCGAAGACATGTCACGACCACTCGTGTCCGAAAGCCAACTGTTCCACAATGAAGTCAGTCCTACAACACGTCCACACCTGTACTGCCGGTCAGTGTCCCCACAAACCAATCACTCAATCCCTTTACTATACAATCAATTATCATATGATTTACAGTGAATTCATGTCCAATCGCTCACTGTATGAGCACTCGTCAGATCGGTTCCCATTGGCAGAACTGTGTCCGCACAGACATGACTTGTGAGGTCTGTTCCCCATATAAAGAGCGCATCGCATCCCTACGGAAGGCCGCTATCGCACAGGTATTCAAGCAGTGATTTATAAAATAAGTGTTTTATTAACTCAACAGTTATATTGAATTGACAGCAAAGTGCGGGAACTGCTGCTGAAGGGACCAAACACTGGCACTTATGGATAACACCGGACGTACGCAACCGTATGGTCGAGAAGTTGGTGTCGGCCCTCATCTCTAACTCTAATGGCCACGACTTGGAGGACATGACTGTGAAACACATGTTTGATTACGTCTATGGCATCGAACAAGAGATCTATAAGTCGGCCGAAAGTCTTGTTCAATACCACCATTTGTTTTGGCGTAAGATTTATATCGTTGAGAGTTATGCGAAACGTTTGAGACAATCGGATGGTTCTGTGAGTGGTGTGACCCAAGGCTTTGACTGTCTTGTCTTGGAATCGGTGTTAGAGGCGGACAATGACTTTAAAGCTATTGTTTTGAACTAGAATTTTATTTTTCATTGCGTTTCGTTCATTACTTTTCAAATTTTATATAACATTTTGGTATTAGTTTAACAAAATATTTTTAAAATACTTTTTTTTAATTATAACTTATTGTTTGGTATTTTGTAAATTAGGGTTAAAAGTGGATATTTCTTCAAAATTTATATTTCATTTGTATTGTGTTTACAATTAGCAATAATTTGTAAATTAACCGTTTATTTACAGCAAAAACATTTCTAACGAAACACATGATTAAATTGACGTTTTAGTGACGATTGCAAAGTATATACTCTGTATTACATAATATTGTATTTATTTCGTATCATTTGA